TAGAATTCATAGGCCACTGGATCGGGTTCCAGTGGCTTGCCTTCTAACAAATAGGTCCTTAGTTCGAACCCCTGTGGTGGGTGCGTACTGCTGAATGGTCCCAAATTAGGTTGAGATAGCTGTTCAGTACTTCCTGACAGGTTTTCCAATGGTTTTCTCACCGATGTCAGCTTAGGATGAAATCCTTCGGCTTTATTATACTCCAAAAACTCAAGTTAAATACAAATTACTAGATTTAAATTCATTCAGTCTGTTATTAGAATATAGTGGTTTATTCAGAAGAAATAAATAGCGTGGGTCCACGTAAAAAACATAACCTACTAGTGGTCGAAAATCAAGAGAATAAGAACACTCGAGATATTGTGAGATAGGTAGGGAATTAAAGATATAAATGAAAGCATGTAATTATAAAGTTTTTAAACAAGAATGAAAACCGAATATATTAGAATAATAACATATTAAAAAATATAATTCAAGCTGAACTGAATGTTTCAAATGCGAACAACACAGTGAAATAGTAAATTTTTATTTCATACTACTTTTGTAGTTTTAAGTAGCTGAAAACGAAAAGCAAAAATGATAACTAGGTATCCAAAGAATGAGTATATGAAAAATCTGAGAAACAAAATAAGCTCAGAACAGCATATAATTTGAAGACACCAGATGCAAACCTCACTAGCAACCTCATTAATATGTAAAATTAATGAGTTCCCACCTCACTGCCTCATTCCACTATTAGAGATAACTACGGTTGGCTGAACGTATTTTGGTGATACCGGAATCAGTGAAGGATTGCTTCCAGTACCTTTCAAGAGGGGTAACCATTTAGATTAACCATGTTGGTTATACAGGTAGCGATGGTTCACCACGACATGATGGTATAAAATATGTTACTATTCTGAGTATCTACAGGGCAGCAGTTCACTCCGTCCTCCTTTATGACTGTGAGACATAGTCATTGAAAGTGGAAGACATAAAGGGCTAGCTGTCTTTGATCATAGGCGTCTGCATTCTATCTCCCGTGTTAGGCTGTATAATAGAGTGAGTAATATTGAAGTTAGGCGTATTGTGTGTTAGGTAAGGAGGGCAAGTTAATTGATGAGGTTGTGAAGCTACATTGATTGAGATGACAAGGACATGTGTTACTCATGCCTAACCATTGCCTTTCATGACAGGCAATGTTAGTTGACATAGAAGCAGGCTGGAAAAGAGCTGCTAGTGCTGGTCAAACCAAAACTTGGTATTAACCTATGAAGTATCTGACAGTTAGATTGAGCCTTGTAGGGATGTGTAAACTTCCTGGTTTGGATCTTCGGGATTCTAGAAACCATTGACTCCAGGCAGTTGGTGATATCTTTAAATATTCCCATTCATATTCAACAACCTTTACTACAGGCAAATCGATAGTATTGCCATGGGTTCTCCATTGGGGCCAATTTTCGCAGATTTCTTTCTTGCCAGTTACAAGGCAAGCTCGTATACCATTCAGCCACTGGGACCTGATTCAATGGCTCATGAATTCTAACTTCTACCAATTCGTTGGGGTCTCGCTAAATCACGAATCGGTAACCGGAGGGTCCTGGGTTCGAATCCCAGTGGGTGCGTAGTGCCGATGATTCCCAAACTAGAATGAAACAGCAGCTGTCCAGTACTCCAGTGCTGGTTTTCAATGGTTCTCTAACTGATATCAATCCGTGATCAACTCGTAAAAATATATGTATAAATACAAATACAATCTTACGGATAATACTTATTCGGTAATGTCTAGTAGTGAAAGTCAGGAAGTAGATTTCATTTTCTCTTGACCATGTCAGCAATTCGGCAAGGAATAATTCCGTTCTCACCAAAAGCTGAAATAAGCCAACGCTATTCCGACCACAAAAGCTTTATTCAACAGGCCATTTAAGCATAATAGTTAATTCCTGTGCGATCGAATTCATTTAATAAAATATGATCCTACAGTCTGAGTATAAATCACAATAAAATGATGTCAGTACACTAGTGGAGTGCATCTGTTAGTTGAATACATTAGTTAGAAGACAATCAGCTAATTCAGTTCAGTGAAATGAACGACAATAATGAAAATTAATGGGTGTTATTGCACAAATGTGGAAAAGAAACCGATAGCTCTGTAAATTACCAATTATATGAATTCTTCTTTTGAATAAACTACAGAGTAAGATTTTTTTTATTCCTTTACGTTCCCAGTGGAACATAGGGCTTCAAGCTAAAGGCTTGAAGTTTCTGGAGCAGTGGTGATTATTTTTACAGGATGGGGTTGCTGCTGGCCTCATGCCCAACTTTCCCTCCTTACCAGTCTTACTACTGACTTAGCGAGGTAAGGGAGTGCGTCTGTGGCCGGGGCTCGAACCCCGGACCACTTCCGTGGTCGGCGAGTACTGTACGGCTGTGCCATCGACACATCGACACAGATGCTACCTCCAATTATTTCATCGGCTTCTCATCAGCTGCATACAGCCTAATTAAACAATTTTAACATACTTACAAATGTTACATAATGTCAGGTGACAGGAGACTCCACTTTCAGAGTATAAAAGAAGTCTTTCTTCATTCATATCCATTCTTATGGTGATCATATTGAGGGAATAGTCAACAGAACACTGAATACCTCTCTAATCAGAACCTATCCTACAGCTGAGTTAGTTCCCGTTTATCGAAAAAGTCGATGGTAACTATGTATATACAAATTTATAAGTACCTGCTAGAGCAGTTACATTGGAAGAACAGGAAGAAGGTACACCTTCGATTTTCTGAACAGGTACTAAGAAGCCTAAGAAGCCTATGTCTCAAGGGAACAAACACTTGCAGTAGTGTCACTTATAGAGATCTCGTCCATATGGATTATGCGGTGGATATCATTGAAATCCTTTAAAATTATCAATCGGCAAAATGGTTCAGTTCTTCTGATGCTTACCTATCCAACCACAACTGAACGCCTGAAACCCAATAGATGTGTTCAGAAATTAGCAGTTATCAGTCTTTCCTTGCCCATGCTGGTAACTGGATGTCTTTACTCTGTCTTGCAATCTTATTACGCAATCTCTGAGCTTAACCTCACCCGCCTACTTTGATATAGTGCAACTCTGCTTATCTCTTGTTTCTATGATTTGAGTTGGACTCATAACATTATTTCCCTACCGATTCTTCATGTAACTATTCCTCCTCCTTTCACTGTTGCATCATTTTCGTACTTCTGAATCTCATTTCTTGTCTCTCTTGTCTTATTTTGTGCACTACTTGGTGTTTGACTTTTCGAACTGGTGAAATTTTGTGCAAAGTTCTATGTTGAAAGCGGTCAGTCATTCCGAGTATCTTCAACCTGATGGCATACATGTATTTGCTGCTGAGTTAAATTACTGATCACTGTGATATTCGTAAATCATACTGTGGTGAGAGCTGTCTACTAGCCAAATTGGTAGACAGTAATTTACGTCAATGTTTACGTCCTCAAGATTTGTCGTGAGAAAATATGAACAAAGACTGATTCAACAACCAACCACAGCAGACTTTGCGTAGGCGGATGCAGTTAACATATAGAGGATTTGACATTCAAGAAACAGTCACAAATAGATGAAATATTAACTTCAAGTGAGAAACAACCAATCAGAAGACTGTGTTTGTTTGCTTAAATAATCTATAATAATGTACATGAAAATATATAAATATGCGTTGATTTCCTTAATAAACGATCTGTTGCCTGGCCCTTGTCTTCTGTTGTTACAATACTATCTGGAAGAATTTAACAGATATGGACTGAACACTATCAAATGACTATTGCTCAATTTATTAGTTACTCATCATCTTATTCACCCTTCTTTTTTATTACGTAACTCTTTTGTCGTTGTACCCAAACATTTATTTCTGTTTAAACTGGAATTTTCTGGGTATAAACTATATAAGGGTAGTTTTCTGAGCACTGTTCATCAAGTTTTGAGTCTCCTGTCAACTGATATCATGTAACATTCACAAGTAGGTTAAAATTATTTTGTGCATAAACTGAATAATTAACTCTAGGCTGTATGCAGCTGATGAGAAGCCAATGAATAAGCAATGATGGTAGCATCTTTTTCTGCACAGACCACTGTTGTTCTTGCTTTATACAAATTCATAAAGAGGAGGAATAAGTGTGTATGAAGTTTATGAATTCTGTTAAACGTCCTATTCCTCCCGTATTCTGCCTATTATTCTCTATTGTTCCCCCTTAGTTTTTCCCGGGCTACTGAAGAAAGACTATAACATATTACGCAGGATGTTAAAGGTTGTCAGCAGGGTAAGCAACGTGCCACTTAACCAGCTTGTTAATATTCTGGTTGACCGGCACATGGACTCATGTGAAAAATGGGCCAAATCCATTTTATCTAACTCACACCACCCTCTTCACTCACAACTCTCCCCTTGCATCTCATCAGGCAAAACCAGAAGCCTATATAGAAAACTATATGCTCGCACCAGCAAGTACAAAAACTCAACCATACCCTACTTAGCTCGTGTTTTGTGCGATAAAGAAAGCATTAGGCGTGACACCTATAATTCATTAAATAGTCAGTAGAACAACTGGATCTCGTCTTTCCAACTCATATCATTTATAGGTACAACATTTTCTTTCTTTTTTTCCTTTTCTCTCTCTTTTTTTCTCTGTTATGTGCTGCTTTGTTTCTTTCTTCTGCTTACACCAGTAAATATGACAGCACCAACTTTTCTAACACCTTCAAACACTGTTCAACTTTGGCTTTGCTACCGACATGCCAATATGTTGTTGTCATAATGAACTGAGATTTCCTTAATCTATGTAGAATTCTATTTATTGATAATGTACTAACTGGATGCAATACTGTAGTAAAAATGCTGAGAATTCCATTCTGTATCACAAGTACTGTTTTGGAATAAAGCAAATTATTATTATTGAATGTTAAATATTATTTGATAGTAATTAATAATAACAATAATGATAATTATAATAACAATAAGAGTCAACTAACCATTGCTGGTAATGTAACATTTCTCCGCATATAACTCGGTGCACTTCTCATTGAATTAGCATATTTGCAAACTTAATAAAATAAGATATAAGAAATAATGGTGAATAAGATTCAGATTTGTGATAAAATACAAAATAAGTAATGTTGATAATAAAAACCTAACAGTTGGAAGTTAGTCTACACCACACTAGTAACTGACTGTTGGATGAAGTTACCTGGAGGACGTACTAATGGAAAGTGGTAACCAGCAGGGTGGACCAAGTTGGGTGTGATGCGGGTTCGAATCTCAGAGGGGACATGAGTTCCTTCAAGGTTGCAGATACGCCTGCCTTGCTGCCTGATGATTGCCAACTAGCACGAAACCTAGTTCCCGGTAAGGCTTCCTGCCGATTGCCTCCAACTGTCTAATATAAGTACCTGCTGATGGCACTGACTGACAGTCGCGCTATACATATATATAGGTGTGCGTCGGTGGCATAGTGGTTAGGACGCTCGCCGACCATGCACATGGTCCGGGGTTCGATCCCCGGCCACAGACGCAATCCTTTACCTCGCTTAGCCAGTAATAATATTGGTAAAGAGGGAAAGTTCGCCATGAGGCTAGCAGCTCTATCCCGTAAAAATAATAAACACCACTGCTACGGAAACTTCAAGCCTCTAGCTTAAAGCCCTATGTTCCACTGGAAACGTGAAGGAATAAACAAAATACTCACTAGTAACCTGTAATTATACAGATATAACCTTTAAAGTAACTGCTATAATAGTATTCCTGACTTTCACGTCTACGATTTTTTAAAGGTTCAAAAGCTTTTTGTAGGCACTTGATTTGTTTCAGACGGATTGATATCAGTTAGAGAACTATTGAAAATCGAGGAATACTGGACAGCTGTTTCGTCAGCCTAGTTTGGGCCACATCGTCAGTGCGCATCCGCCGTGGATAGAACACAAGACCTTCTGGTTATAAGGTGAGTTCGTTTACCATTCAGCCACTGATATCTGACTCAATGGCCAGGCATGAATCCTAACCTTTACTAATTCGTGATTTTAGCGCGACCACTGCCAGCCAGTGTCATCCTTGGCGAGTATTCGTCTTCACAAGTTCTTCCTAGAACTCCAGGAAACTTTATCCTGTAGCCAGTCACTAGCATCAGTACTTCCTGGTTCTCAGTGGTTCTCTAGCTGATATCACTCCATAGTCAAACTTAAAACTGATGATTACATCTGGATTTGATCGAATCCTATCGTTTGATCAATAAAACATGAGCTATTTATATACAGATCACGATTTTCAATCACTTCACAGGATATGGAAATTTACTTTGTCAAGCCATCGCTACCATATGGTTCAGAGACTTGATGTGCCTGACAGCCAAGGAGTTTAAAACAATAAGTTCCCTTTACGAATTTAGATAAAGCAATAAGAAGACGTAATTCGTCTGAATCGTGTATTGTATTTGCGCAACACATTTCGAACAATCTGATCACACACGGACTTGTCATAGGATTGTATATACATGAAATTAGTAAAGAGGTAAGAGGTGAGAAAATAGACTACTTAGGTCAAGTTGAAAAGACATACTGAAGGTCAAAGTAACAATGAAGATCACTAAACCAAATAACAGACGTAATAGTACATCTCCCCTGGATGGTATCAAAACAAAATTTACCAAGGAAGGTTTAGTGTGATGACGAATTGTTTTTGAACGCATAAAGGTGGTTTAAACTTTCTAATTGCCAACTAGGGCTTCCACAAACTTTAGGATACACCCCAAACACGTTTTATACATAGGTTTAAAAGACTTGTAAACATCAATTTAATTTTCTGTCTCTATGATATGTTTCGCAATAGAGCAGCTAGGTCTACTGTTCTCACCATTAATGAATTCTGAAGATTCTATTTGCTTCTAGAGCCACTTAGGAATATGCTCTGAAGCCAGCTCTTACTTGCAGAGATCGATGAGTCCTCACTCCTATGTATATGTATCCCCACGTATATTCAAACTGGTAAATGCAGTGGGATGTGACATCACTTTTCGCATGTTCGAAGGGCTTATATGGATGGATATATTCGCTTCACATTCTCAATTATTATGATATTAGCTGCATAAAAAGTCTTTTTAACAGCACTGTTCAATCTTTGTCTAGTTATCAAGCTGCTGTGGTAACCCATATAAGGTAGCTCGATGTACATGTCCTTCGTAGTGGCGGGTTGGCGAGTGGGTCTTGGTGTTCTGACTACTTTATATCTCCTGATGAACTTGTCTGGATAATTGTTATCGACCAGAGTTTGCGTCAACTTTCTTCTTCATCAAGTGTGTCTTCAGTGCATATTCGTTGGATTCTACTGAAGAGGCACCTTACTAATGCTCCCTTTTACGGAACAGGGCAGAAACTGTGGTAATTAAGATACCTTTATGCGTTCAAAAACAATTCGTCATCACACTAAACCTTCCTTGGTAAATTTTGTTTTGATACCATCCAGGGGAGATGTACTATTACGTCTGTTATTTGGTTTAGTGATCTTCATTGTTACTTTGACCTTCAGTATGTCTTTTCAACTTGACCTAAGTAGTCTATTTTCTCACCTCTTACCTCTTTACTAATTTCATGTATATACAATCCTATGACAAGTCCGTGTGTGATCAGATTGTTCGAAATGTGTTGCGCAAATACAATACACGATTCAGACGAATTACGTCTTCTTATTGCTTTATCTAAAGCCAAGGAGTTGTCAACAGGCTGCAAACCTTCATTAGGATTCCTCCTCTTCGTTCAGTACCAAAGATCATATGGCCAACTGGCAAAGAACCATGCTGTCCAGTAAACCCTCACATTATCTGAACGATAGTGCCACATCCCACTGTGGTTATCAGTTTACATGTATGTGTGGACACACGTACATAAGGAGGACCCATCGGTCTCTGCGGGTTAGGGCTACAGAACACATTCCAAAGTGGCTACAACAACAAATAAAATCGCCAGACACAATTAACCCCGGAAATAGATGTCCAACATCATCTATAGCGAAGCACATTATAGAGACGGGTTATAAGGTTGATTTCAACAGTGCCTTTAAACCCATATATAAAACAAGGTTGGGCCGCATACTTAAATTTGTCGAAGCCTTAGCCATAAAAAGACTTAAATCTGTCTGTCTCATGTGTCCAAAAGTTATTTGTTATTACTGCAAACCTGCCTGGGTAATCCAATTTAGAACCAAGGACCAATTTAATTCATAATATTTTTAACCCCTCCTTTGCTTTCATTTGTCTTTTGCTCTTTTTTTGTCTTTCTTACCCACACCGTTGCATCATCCCCTACCCATCTTTCGTGACTTTGACTTGTACACAACCTAACCTGTATTGTAATTATTCATGCATTCGTGCCTTCTAAAAAACTGTGTATGACAAGTACGCAGGTGTGTGATCAGAATGTCCAAAATTTGTTGCGCCACTACATTACACGTTTCAGATAAACTACACGCCTACTATCGCCAGTGATTTTCCTGATTGCAGTAGATTGGATAATGTGACAGACAGCGGGCAATGAGGAAACAGGCATAAAATGGACTCACACAAAAAACTTGGAGGATCTGGACTTCGACGATGATATATGTCTGATTTCTCACAAACTGGAAGATATGCAAGTGAAAAGCAACAAGTTGGCAGAAGAAGCATCCAGAGAAGATAGGACTTCAGGTGAACATAGAGAAAACAGAGGTGATGAAAATTCCTGGGCAACACCACCAACAGCAACAACAACAGACAACAATCAGCATAAATGGAAGGAACCTGAAAGAAACAACCTCTTTTACCTACCTGGGAAGCATCGTTTCAACTACAGGCGAACGGAACTGACGAGGATATCAAAGCAAGAATCGGAAAAGCAAGACAAGCTTTCACTACTCTCAAGTCTGTGTGGAGGTCAACAGCACTACTCAGCAAAAAAAATAAGATCCGGATTTTCAATTCCAATGTGAAGTCAGTGCTACTCACTATACGGATCAGAGACTTGCACTGCGCGTCATAAAGAGCATCTCAAACAAACTACAGACCTTCATTAACAGTTGTCTTCGCTCAATACTCAAGAGCAGATGGCCAGAAAAGATCAGCAACAGGGATCTCTGGCAATGAGCGAACCAACTAGGAACCGATTGTGAAACAAATAGGTAGGAAGAAATAGAGATGGATTGGTCATACTCTGAGGAAACTATCAAGTGACATCGCTGGACAAGCCCGTGAGTGGAACCCGAAAGGGAAGCGGCGGCGAGTTGGTCGTCAGTGCGAGGGTGGGTGACTTGGAGGAGGTTATGTGAAGAGGAGATTAAAACGTGTGGACAGACTTGGAGCTAGGTGAAGACTCTAGCAGAGAACCGAACGCAATGGAGACGTGCACGGCTGAAGCCCTATGTTCCTCTGGGAATTAAAGGAAACAATAATAAATAATAATACACGTCTTCTTATTATGTTGTCGAAATTCATAAAGGGAACTAATTGCTTTAAATTTTGGAAGACAACAAGGAATTATTGGCAAGAAATCAACCAACAACCTATTCCTCAACAATATACAGAGGGAAGTGAACACACGGGGATCGGACACACTCTGAGGAGACACCACATACCAGGCAGATTGTCAAGTGGAGTCCGAATGAGTAGTAACCAGTTGGACATAAGTCCGAGGATGACATGCCAAAAATCATCTGATGATGAGGTAATGCAAACTTGTGTGCAGTCGTAGTGGCGGTTTAAAATGACTGCGAAGAACAGAGTGAAATGGAGATGTCTTGTTGTTCGAGTCCCTATGTTCCACTCAGAAGTCAAGGGATGGACGGTAAGAATAAGAAATTTGTTCTGGGGTAGACCACGAATTGATATCAGTTAGAGGACCATTGAAAACCAGCACTGGAGTACTGCCAGACAGCTGTCTCCTTCGTCCTAGTTTAGGACTCATCGGCAGTACACACCCACCACCAGGGTTCGAATCCAGAACCTTCTGGTTACAAGACAAGCTCGTATACCATTCAGCCACTAGGACCCGATCCAGTGGTCAGCACAGGAATTCTAACTGCTAACAGCCAATATCATCGGCGGAAACTCCATCCTTACTTGAAAATATATGAGAAATTTATTTCCAAACTTACATTTTTGTCTTTCACTGATCTCCAACTCTAGTGAATCATTCTCATCGGTGAAATTCTCCTTAAAACTTTCATATTCAACAGCTTTCCTTATCTTTTGTAGTAAAAAGTCAACTTCTAGAACAGGCATTTCTTCGAGAAGGAAATTTTCAATCATATACAAAAGTGATGCATCATCATTTTGGGGATAATTTCGATTATGTAATCCTATAAGGATTGCACAACATTCAATGGCTGCTGTTTGAACCTAAAAGAATAACAATAATAATAATGATAATAATAAAGAGAAGAAAGGATACATTGTATGCTTGCTACACACATTGTGGATCCAAATGTGGGTTCATATCTCTTCAATAACTTTTTCTGTGTCTTACATTTCAAGCGGATAATAGTAATAATAATAATAATGATTTACTTTATTCCAAAAACAGTACTTGTGATACAGAATGGAATTTTCAGCATTAATCACAGTATTGCATCTAATTTCCTCAAATTATAAATAAAATTATCCTGGGCGAGATCGCCTCCCATTGCATCAGGGCCTTCGTTGCCGTTGGTGACATCATGATAGCCACGCCCTCGGTGTACATGTGGTTATCCTCTGGGTGACCGGAGTAGATCACTGACTCACCCGTTGACAATTTGGTGAGTCCATTCCCGTTCCATCTGCTTTCACATATCCCCAGTAATTGAATTCTGTATCTTTTCATTTCGTTTGCGATCTGGGCAGCTTTGCCAATCTCGTACATGGTGCGGACATTCCATGTCCCCACACAGACTTTTTCTTTTGGCGCAAGGAGATTTGTCGTGCTGAAGTTTCTGTAGCAGTTTTGTTTACAGGGTGGGGTTGCTAGCCTCACGCCTGAGAAGGGGAGAGAGAAAAGGTTAGTGTTGCGTGACCGCAGAGCCCAGGGGACAACTGCTTGAGGCCGGTCACACGCGGCCTGTTTTGGTTGTTCTTTCTTGTTTGGTGTGTCTCAGTAGCATATTTATCACTTCTGCCCTGTGACACAGCAGCAGGAAGCGCGGTCGTTGTTAATCCGGGCCCCGACCGATCCGGCATGATATTTTGTGAGTTTGTTTGAGTCATAGTATTGGATTGGGTAGCTGCTTTTTGTCTAACCGCTATCCAAACAACCTTTCTGGCATGGTAGGACCTACAGGAACATAAGTTCCAGCCAGTGTAGCTCGTTGGGTCATTGCGATATGCAAGCCCGACCACCACGTCAAGGTAGCAGCTATCGGTCGGGTGTCGAGAGAACCGAACGCAATGGAGACGCACGACTGAAGCCCTATGTTCCTCTAGGAATCAAAGGAAACAATAATAATAAATAAAATTAATCACACAGAAAAGTTTTCCACATTTCTTACAATAGGGGTAATGTCAAAAAACATGCAGCATATAAAATGGAAATAATATAATGATAACAGCTAAGATAATGATAATAATACAAGTGAAAATTGCCGTGGGCTTGTTTCACACAGTATTGTCGATGCGGTATAGAAATCCTAGCATGTTTAAAAATATTGAATATAATGTTCTCTTTACATGATATGGTGAGGGAAAAACAAAGATTACAGCAGTCATAGAGATAAGTTGGTGTTTGCAGTTATGAAAGTAAAAGCAAAGAAGCAACAGGACCATAAATATAATAGAAATAATAAAAGTAAAACTTGAAGGTATATAAGGATGGATGGAGGAGATTGTTTATTTACTAGATGAAAAAAGGTTAGTCAATTCTTGCCTGACGCTATTTTCATCACATAAAATACGTGCCAAGTATGGTATCATAGAATTTTTATACTTAGACGTGCGAGCATACAGTTTTCTGAAGTTACTTCTTGTTCTGCCTGAGGAGATGCAAGGTGAAAGCTGAGGGTGAAGTGGATGCTCCATGTCAGACAAAATCCCTTTAGCAAATTTATTGCACGAAGTCAAGTGCCTATCGACAACGAAGTTAACTATGTAGTCCACTGGGACACCACTCATCCTACTGACAGTCTTCAGCATTCTACGAATTGTGACATAGTCCTTTTTAAGCAAACCAGGAAAGAATAAGGGTGAACAATAAAGAAGAATAGGTAGGATGCAAGAGTTTATGAACTGTAAGAGGAGGGGTTGAGTTATACCCGAGTGCCTTAACTTCTTGATGTAAAATGTCAGGCGAAATATTTTACTGGAGATCGCTGAGACATGGGAATACCAGGAGAGATCAGAAGATAGAATAAGTCCAAGATAATTAATTTCTGATTGAATTCCTATATCACTGTCATCAATCTTACAACTGTCATGAGAATCGACGGCTTCTTTTCTTAACTGTCGTTTACACCTTAAAGCGTTAATCTTTGAAATTCCAGTATCTTCATACTTGTGTACAATTTGAAAACCTGATGACCCAAACAAATGATTTAACTCCAGCCTCTGAACAGGCACTACAACGATTCAAATCAATAATAATCGATTGTTGTCATCATCAATATCTGAATACAAAAAAACCAAAGGTCTACAACCACTTAAAAAAAACAGCACAGAGAAGAATTAAATCAACTGAAACACAACAAAGAACTTCTAATAAGTCGTCCAGATGAAGGAGCTGGCGTAGTCCTTACTGGACAGAAAAGACTACATTGAGAAAATGAATAACATATTGTCAGATAAAACTGAATTCTCGTAACCACCCAATGAAAGAAATAAAACAGAACAGATTGCAAAAACAGCTTCATGCATTTATTCCCCTTGATGAATTTGAATAAAGCAAGAACAACAGTATCCTGCAGCTAAGAGGGTTCCCGTCCATCGAACAACATGCTCTTTGGTGCAGTCAGAAGTCAACAGATACCCTTCTCATGTTAACTCCAACTGTGCATACAAATTTAAGTGTATCTGCGGAAGCAGTTACATTGGGAGAACAAAAACAAGAGCATACATAAGATTTTGTGAACGTGTGCCGAAAAGCCTACCTCTCCAGGGAACAAACTCTTATAATAGCGCTATTACCAGACATCTCCTCGATACGGGTCGTGAGGTGGAAATCGCGAAATCCTTTAAAATTATCAATAGACAAAGGAGCTCAATTCTCCTCAAGTTTGCCAAAGCTATTTCTATCAAACGCTTGAAAGCAGATTTATGTGTTCAGAAAGAAGCAGTTATCAGTCTTTCCTTGCCGTGTCTGGTAACTGGATGTATTCACTGTCTCTCTCATATGATTACGTAATCTTCGACTTTAACCTCACCTCTTTGATACAGTATAATTTTGTTTGTCTCTTGTTTCTATGATTTGAGTTGAACTCAGTACCTTGTTACCTAATTTATTAGTCACTCAGCATCTTACGCATCTCTCGTCTTTCAATTACGTAACTCCTTTACCATTGTATGCATGCATTTATTTTGTTTAAACTTGAACTGCCTGTGTAAAAACTAAATAAGCGCAATTTTCTGAGTACTGTTCACTAATTGTGGAACCTTCTGTCAACTGACACCATGAAAAATTTGCAAGTATGCTAAAACTTTTCTGTACATAAATCTCATAATTTATTTAGGCTGTAAGGAGGCAGCTGAGCTGATAAGAAGCCACCGAAATAAGCAATGATGGTACCATGCATTATTCTGCACAAACCACACTGTTGTTCTTAATAGTAAACAGTAGTAGAGGGATAATAAAATAATAAGGATGCTGAGACTAATAATAATAAACTTACAGGAAGTGGAAGTATAATAAGAACGTTACTCTGGCCATGGTAGGGCAAGTGAATACATGTGGTGCTATTGAATGCAGGGGTCCAGTTTCGGATTCCGAATAGCCAATGATTCAGCTATGTACAGATGGCGTATTCGAAGTCATTTCGTACGATATTGAGAGACTCTGTGTAGCGCTGTGGGTAGTCGATATCCGAAGATGACAAGGTGTTTGAGGATAGAGCTGCTGCTATTCTTCTTTTCTCCTCTGGCTGGTTAGCCAAGATGGGCAGTGTTCCAGAATACGTTTTTGGACTTGACGTTGAGCACGGCCGATATACTTTGCTCCACACGAACAAATAAACTGGTCAGTGCACACTGAGGTGGCCAAAAGCTGTATCATGTCCATAACGTTTGACTGGATCAGCTGTCTGCTGGAGAATCTGATACGTAATATGGCTGCTTGAAATGTCTTCTTCAGACATTTAGAAAGCCGGTTTCTAAGAATTTCCGCTTCAATATTACCTTTGGATTATAGGTTCATGAAGATATTTTTCCTAGAGACAGTTGTGATTTTCGGCAATGATTATACAGCTTATGAAAACGAATCGTCGAAAAGAAAATTTTCTTCGTTGTTTACGTCTTTTTCTTATAACTCAGTATTGGAGTATTTCGTTCAACGAAGCACTCTGAATTACTGCTAGATGGTTGAAGGAAATCGACAGGAAGCCTTAGACCTGGATTTTGCGCTTAGCGAAACTCATCACAAGGGAGTATCTGCAATCCTGAAGCAATTTATGTCCCCTCTGGGATTCGAACCTGGGTCACTCAGTTCTGTAGTCAGCGAAGTTACCACTAAGCCACTTGAGATTGCAACTAGATAACTTGACTGACACCAAACGCGTGACATTAGCTACCACCTGGTGTCCTAAACGAAACCAACTGCAAGCCCAAGTAGCTCAGTATTAACTCCTCTAGCTGCAGTACTGAGTGCCTGGGATTCGAATCTCTGAAGGGATATCAGTTTCTTCAAGACTGCAGATCCGCTTTTGTGGTAAGTGCTGATAAACATAAAATCTAGGTCCCAAGCTTCCTACCAGCTGACTGCAAACATCTAAAGGCAACTGTATAGATTAGCACTACCTGGTTATATTAAGTCTGTGGTGAGAGCTGTCTACTAGCCAAATTGGTAGACAGTAATTTACGTCAATATTTACGTTCCCAAGATTTGTCGTGAGAAAATGTGAACAAAGATTGATTCAAAACCGACCACAGCAGACTTTGCGTAGGCGGATGCAGTTAACATGTAGAGGATTTGACATTCAAGAAACAGTCACAAATAGATGAAAGATTAACTTTACGTGAGAAACAACCAATCGGAAGACTGTGTTTGTTTGCTTAAATATCCATAGTAATGTACATGCAAATATATAAATATGCGTTGATTTCCTTAATAAATGATCTGTAGCCTGACTATTGCCTTCTGTCGTTACAAGTCGAATGAAAACTTTAAACCTACAGATCATCGCAATGAAATATAAAAAAATGGTTACACTGTGTTCACTAAAGCAATTTAAAACGCTTAAGTTTAAACCTAAATGACCAATGATGGTAAGGAGGCTTTAAACTTACATTTCATACTCCCTAAGCACTCTTCACTAAGATTTATATACAATCTTGAGAAAAACCTAACGATTTACGAACTATACTGAACTATACAGAAACTGGATTGATGAACAGACAGAGATAAGGGGAACAGATTTGTAGCAGTTCAAGTTGCTACACTGTAAAAAGACCCATGAACACAAAAGGTGACAGGGATACAGTGAAACGATAATTTACAAAAATGCTTTTGTGGAGTAAACAATTTCATGAAGAGTGATGGTGTTATTTAACTGGCTAATAACGGAATTCTTGATTCGTTGCATCCTCAGTAGGGAGAGTTTGCTCAAACACAGTAGCTATCGGTCCAAACTCCAAAGCGTTATTCATTAACCTACTGATCTACAAGGTAATAAAGGTGTGTCTTTCAAGGTACACTTTTAAGCTCATATAAAGAATAACTTATTTTATTAACAGTAAATTGTGCTAACGTCTAGATTGAGTAATATAGAATCAAATCTCGAAGTGAGCATACTTTTCTTCAAGTTTGCTGATATATTTCTGTGTAAATACGACACTCAGGCTAAGCAGAACTTTCTGTTAAATAGCCTAATGTCAGATCCAGTAACTTGTGAACTTAATTCGGTCAATACTTAGGACTAGGGAAGAAGCCATTGCTTATGTGGTGAAAGCTGCCTGCAAGACAAAATTGGCAGACACCAATTTACGTCAATGTTTACGTCCCAAATCAGGGTCATGATTAAAAAAACACAATAACAAAGTTTAACCTTGAGGAAATCAGCAACCAACCAATCACAGCAGACTTAACGTGTGCAAATACGATTCGCAGATACATGGCTTGACTTTCTAAGAAACGGTCACAAACAGTACGGAATAACCTTGAGGGAGGAAACAACCAATCAGAAGGCGTCGCTTCTCCGCTAACAATATCGAATAATAATGTACATAAAAATCTATAAATATCTGTTGATTTTCTCAATAAACGATCTGTTGCCTGACTTTGTTTTCTGTCATTAACAACTTACAATTTAAGAATATAACAAACTAACGAATTTAACCTTTTTCAGTGTCTACGGCTTACCGTAACAAACTTGCTGATTTTGTCACTCAGTGATGTGATTCTAAATTTTTGATTTGAGATAAGCACCTTCAAAGTTGCTTGTAAGTCTGTAATTCTTGCTGACCAGATCGAAGTGGTCTAAACACCAGACAGCTGTTACACTTGTTTGGGGCTGAAATTATTCATTGGTGTGCCTGGAACGACTCAGTTAGGAGAGGCGAATCAGTTTAAACCAAGCAAATTCTGATTTGCTACTTGGTTGGCACGGTAATGCGTCGGTGGCACAGTGGTTAGGACTCTCGCCGACCATGCACATGGTCCGGGGTTCGATCCCCTGCCGGCGCACACCCAATATCTATAGTCGGACTGGGAAATTTGGGCTACCGATATCAATATACTGAAAATTCTATAATTGTACTGAAAAAACTGTATGGAATCAAGCTATAAAAAAAAAATTACATATGAGATCTGAATAATGTCATTGACCAGAAGAACTCTGGTTAAATTCACCTGCACTCGGTAATCTGCAAATCGTGAACCTGATTCCTTAGCAGAGCTGAAAATTCGGAAATCGAGGTTGAACAAGGCTTATCATTATTATTATTTTTCCCTTGGGTTCCTAGTGGAACATAGGGCTTCAACTGCACGTCTCCACTTGCTTCTCTCTTCTGCTGTACTTTTCACCTGCATCCATGTTAGTCCATACTGTTTCAACTCTTCTTCACACGATCTCCTCCATGTCACCCTTGGACGTCCCACTCACCGCTTCCCTTTCGGGTTCCACTCGAGCTATGGCCTGACGCGCGATGTCACCCAGTGGCCTCCTCAGCGAGTGTCCAATCCATCTCCACTTTCTCCTGCATATTTGTTGAGCGATTGGTTCTTGTTTTGTTTGTTCCCATAGTTTCTTGTTGGTGCTTGTTCTTTCCGGCCATCTGATCTTCAGTATAGAACGAAGACAGTTGTTGATAAAGGTCTGCAACAGGCTGTTGGAAATATTCTTTGTGACCTGCCAAGTTTCTGATCCATCCGTATAGAAGAACTGACTGACTTGACGTTTGTATTGAAAATCCGAACTTTGTTGTTGATGCAGGCTGAGTGACGAAGATTTCCAGATTGGTTTCAGGTTGATGAATGTGTTTCTCGCCTTCCCGATTCTCGATTTGACATCCTCGTCTGTTCCTCCTGTAGTTGAGACAATGCTCCCTCCCTAGATAAGTGAATGAAGTAACCTCTTTCAAATCCCTCCCGTTGATGGTGATTGGCGCTGGATGTTGCTGCTGTTGTTGTTGTTGTTGGTTGGTTATTTTCATAACCTCCGTCTTGTCTATGTTCACCTGGAGTCCTGTCTTTGCTGCTTCTTCGACCAGTTTGTCGGTTTTCGCTTGTAAGTCTTCGATTTTGTGTGACATCAAACATAAATCATCCACGCGCAAAATCCAGGTCTTCTAGGTTCTTCACGTCGGTCCAGGATATCCCTGTCTTCTCGTTTCCCACTGTCTGACGCATAATCCAGTCCACCACAATTAGGAATATCATTGGTGATAATAAGCACCCTTGTCTGACTCCTGTGTTTACTCCAAAAGCCTCGCTGAGTAACAAGGCTTGTTACCTGATGTTAATGAATGCATGATAACTAGCAGTGGAATACAGGATAAACGTTTCGATCAGCTCAGGACCAATCAGCTGAATGTACCTGCAATCCTTAGTGAATGACGGTGTTCCCACTAAAACTCCTACCTAGGTCCCATTGTCTCCAGTGACATGTCGACTCTCTTAGTACGGACGATGTCTGAGGATTAACATGATGCCATCTCCATCGGTGATGACTAGCAGTGGAATAGAGGATGAACATTCAGTCCTATTTGGGCCCCTCCTACCGAGACTCTGAACCACACTCTGCCCCTCTGACTAATCAACGGAAAATATAAATCTAAGATCTCAAATAAATAAACTTACTACTCCGCTTCTGTCTTTCAAACATTGTGTAATTCTTTGAAGTATTTTTGACAAATCCAAACTTTCATCATGTAAATTACGTAGAATAAATGCGACACTGTACAAGGAATTTGTACGTATACGAAAATTGGCATTTTTCATGCATATCCATATTTCATCGAGGATAAAATCGGGCGGGAAGTGTTTTAATAATTCTACTAGTATTTTACGCATTATCCTGTGTATTGGTTTTAAATTATTCTTCAAAATTAGATTAAATAGTGAAAATATCTCTCTGACACTTGAATGTATCACAAAGGTGGGTAGATTGCGTAATAACATCTGAAGAGAATGCGAAAGAACGAAACCAATGGAAATAAAACATAGTTATTAGATATATAGAGAAGGTTAAAGGATTTCATAGCTAGCTGACTGACATCAATTAGAGAACCATTAGAAAACCAGTTGGAAGTAACTGACAGTTATTTCGTCCAAGTCTGGAACTCTTCAGTAGTACGCACTCACTGGAGTTATAATCCGGGACCTTTTGGTTACAAGGCAAGCTCGTACACTATTAAGTCACTGGGTCCCGATTCAACACTTGAATATGGAAGGTTTTTAGTGCAGAAGAAGATATATTACGACTAACTATTCACATGATCTGGAAATCAAACATTTGACCCTAGCGTAGATTCAGAGCTAATTCATTGGATGTTTCAAGTGTTCATCATCACCTCTGTTTTCTCTCGTGGTCCAAGGGGTCTAGTGGATAACGCTTTGGCGTTTGAAACGATGGGCAGTGGATTCGAGCCTAGGTGGGAACATCATCACTCAGTGACTGGGGAATGCAGGTACATCCAGATGACGAGTCCCAAATAGGACGAAATGTGCGTAATTCTCGATTCCACTGCTAGTCACCATCCACCAACCTTTCCTTTTTACCAGCTTTTTTTATTACTGGCTTAGAGAGGTAAAGGAGTGCGTCGGTGGCCGGGGATCGAACCCCGGACCATGTGCATGGTCGACGAGCGTCCTAAGCGCTGTGCCACCAACGCACTTTCAACAATATAAACATATCAAATAGTGGAGAGATGGAGAGATTTGACGTCGAAGAGAGGAGATGAACCAGAATTGCGGCGGCAAAACGTGACATACACGAAAATAGGAAAAAATACACAAGACGAAAGGCAGAAGTGACAAGTACAATATGGAAGATCTGTACAAATGACTATTTTTACATAAGGTGTACTTAATTTCCCTATCTAAAGACATCAAATTGCAAATAAACGTTCTATAACCACTTCTCTTCTCTTCTACCGTTACACAATCGACATACTAAAACTGCTGGTGAACTTGCAGATAGTGTGACGTAGAGTAAATATAATTTAATCCTTTAAACTTAGGCACAGGAACCGAAAATATTCGAGTAGTAAGGAAAAGCGGCACGCGATGAAGTGTGGGTTTGATAGCTGACCAAAGCCTTTGTATTGTTCATTTTTCAAATTGACCACACTCTAAAGGTGGTTTAATGAAGATATCTTTAATTAATTTGTAAATGTAAAAAAAATGGTTTAACTAAAGAACATTACACAGCACTGAAAGGATTAGGAGAAAAAGATTCCATATTAGTTTGTTTATTAGATGTATCACACAGTCAGTGAAACAGTATTATACTTACTGGATGACAAAGTTTCGAACACAATTTATTCATTGTTCATAATCATTTCATCAGTTGTAATCACACGACTTCGAAACTTGAGTTTTATAGTTTTCTTTGTCTTCTCCTATTTGTCGTCGTTGGGGTAGTAGAATTTTCCAGATATCTGAGTGGACAGGTGTTGAATCATTCCTATTACACGTATTCTCTTCAGTTGATTCGATAAACAAAGCTTCTGTTATCAATCTCTCCCTCCACCATGTTAGTTGTATTAGATTTTGAAACTGTCATCTTATCCCATCCATCCTATTGTATGGTTGTGTTTAATTGCATGTAGTGTGTGTTATAGCTGAACTATTCTCTATATTTTGTTATCTTATTCGGCTCAACTAATCTAGACTTTGCTAGGTTGCTAGAGAGTTGCCATGGGTTCACTAATATCCCCGGTTGTAGCAGATATATTAATGGATAGGTGGGAAGACATGGCAACTGAAACGCTCACCCCACCCAAAAGTATGGTGGAGGTATGTAGATGACACATTCACTGCACTCAGAACACAAGAAATGGATAGACTTTTCGAAAATATCAACTCGAAGGTAGAGGCAATTCAATTCACTTACGAATTGGAAAGTCTGGAAGGGGAGCTTCCACTGTTAGATTGAAGCGTAAAAAGGAGAGTTATTATTATTATTGTTTCCTTTAATTCCTACAGGAACATAGGGATTCAGCCGCACGTCTCCATTCCGTTCGGTTCTCTGCTAGAGTCTTCACCTAGCTCCAAGTCTGCCCACACGTTTTCATCTCCTCTTCACATGACCTCCTCCAAGTCACCCTTGCACTGACGACCGACTCGTCGCTTCCCTTTCGGGTTCCACTCAAGGGCTTGTCTAGTGACGTCACTTGATGGTTTCCTCAGAGTATGACCAGCCAATCCATCTTCATTTCTTCCTGCCTACTTGTTGCACAATCGGTTGCTGGTTGGTTCGCTCATTGCCAGAGATCCCTGTTTCTGATCTTTTCTGACCGGCCATCTGATCTTGAGTATTGAGCGAAGACAGCTGTTAATGAAGGTGTGTAGTTTGTTTGAGATGCTCTTTATGACGCGCAGTGCAAGTCTCTGATCCGTATTGAGTAGCACTGATCTGACATTGGAGTTGAAAATCCGGATCTTATTTTTAATGCTGAGTGTTGTTGACCTCCACACAGACTTGAGAGTAGTGAAAGCTTGTCTTGCTTTTCCGATCCTTGCTTTGATATCCTCGTCAGTTCCGCCTGTAGTTGAAACGATGCTTCCCAGTTAGGTGGGTGAAGGAGGTTGTTTCTTTCAGGTTCCTCCCATTTATGCTGATTGTTGTCTGTTGTTGTTGTTGCTGTTGATGGTGTTTCCCAGGAATTTTCATCACCTCTGTTTTCTCTATGTTCACCTGAAGTCCTATCTTTGATGCTTCTTCTGTCAGCTTGTTGCTTTTCACTTGCATATCTTCTAGTATGTGAGAAATCAGACATATATCATCGGCGAATTCCAGATCCTCCAAGTATTTTGTGTGTGTCCATTTTATGCCTGTCTCCTCATTGCCCACTGTTTGTCGCATTATCCAGTCTACTGCAATCGGGAAAATTATTGGCGATAGTAGGCAGCCTTGTCTTACTCCTGTCCTCACTTCGAAGGGTTCCGTAAGTTTCCCATTGTGGATTACTTGGCATGCAGCATTGTCGTATAGCTGTTGGATGAGATGTGTTATTGTCGGTGGCACACCGTAGTAGCGAAGTAGTTTCCAAATCACCTCTCGATCGACGCTGTCAAAGGTCTTTTCAAAGTCGATGAAGTTGAGATAGAGAGGTGACTGCCACTCCAAGCTTTGTTCAATGATGATCCGTAATGTGGCGATCTGGTCAATGCATGACTTGCTCCTCCTGAATCCAGCCTGTTCCGGTCGAAGTTTTTCATCCAGGGCGTTTTCGATTCTCTCCAGGATGATGCGGCTTAATATTTTGCTTGGGATGGACAGGAGCATAATTCCGCGCCAATTCTTGCATTGACTTAGGTCTCCTTTCTTTGGTAGTTTGAATAAGTAGCCTTTCTTCCAATCCTCGGGTACTTTGCCTACTTTCCACACCTTCTCCAGTAGTGGTGTCATCAAGTCCGCTGTTGTCTCCGGGTCCGTTTTCAATACTTCTGCTGGGATTCCATCTGGTCCTGCTGCTTTTCCAACTTTTAGCATCTTGATTGCCTTCAGGACTTCTGACTTCGTCGGGGGGTTGGTGTTCACTGGTAGCTCTGTCTCCGTTGTTGGAATTGCTGGGCGCGTTGTAGGTGGTGGTCGATTTAGGAGTCTTTTGAAGTGTTCAGCCCAGTGTTTTCTTTGCTCTGCTTCTTTGGTGAGTGACTTTCCATTGTCATCCTTCACCGGCTTGATTTGTGTCAAACGTTTGCCCGACAGGTACCTAGTAGTTTGGTAGAGTGTTGCGAGGTCTTCTTTGCCTGCAGCTTGTTCTGCCTCACTTGCCATGGTTTCATAGTACTTTATTTTGTCTTCTCTGGCACTCTTCTTTACTCTTTTGTTCAGTGTCTTGTAGCTTACGTTCAAATCCTGTTTTCGTTGCTCATCGGTGCACTGGAGAATCTTTTGTTTCACCATCCCTCTCTCTTCTATTAGTTTCCAAGTGTCCGTAGTGAGCCATTGTTTGTCCTGTCTCTTCTTTCTGCCTAGAACTTCCATGCAGGTTTGACTCCACACTTTTTTCAAGTTGTTCCAGTGCTTTTCGACGCTGACCTCTTCGCCAGTGTTGATTTATGTCTCCACCTTTTTTCTTATGACTTCAGTGAAGATATCCTTTGTATCCTGGTTCTTCAATTTGAGTATTGAACTTTGCTTGTGGTCTATCTGCAGCTCCTGTTTCTTTGAAAGCTTTTAATTTGATTTGGAATGTTCCTTGTACGAGATAGTGGTTTGAGCTTACGTCTGCTGCGTCTCCATTTTCTTGAGATTGAGATGAAGTCAATTTGGTTTTTGGTTCACCCATCTGGTGACACCCATGTAGCCTTGTGGATATCCTTGTGTTTGTATACGCTGCCACCAATCACTAGTTCATTAAAGGGGCAGAAGTCGGCGAAGAGTTCTCCGTTTTCATTCATTTTTCCCAGAGCTTCTCTACCCATTATGAGTTCCCTTCCTGTGTTGTCTGATCCCAGTTTGGCGTTCATGTCTCCCATTAGTATTTTGATGTCACCAGCTGGAGTATTGTCCATTGTTGTCTGCAGTTGTCTGTAGAATTCTTCTTTCGTTTCGAGGTCTGCGTTGTTGGTCGGTGCATAGCATTGTATAATTGACACTTTCCTTCCTTTGGAGTTGAATCTGGCGGTTATTATCCTGGGCGAGATCGCCTCCCATTGCATCAGGGCCTTCGTTGCCGTTGGTGACATCATGATAGCCACGCCCTCGGTGTGCGAGTGGTTATCTTCTGGGTGACCGGAGTAGATCACTGACTCACCCGTTGACAATTTGGTGAGTCCATTCCCGTTCCATCTGCTTTCACATATTCCCAGTACTTGAATTTTGTATCTTTTCATTTCTTTTGCGATTTGGGCAGCTTTGCCAATCTCGTACATAGTACGGACATTCCATGTCCCCACACAGACTTTTTCTTTTGTCTCAAGGAGAAACATCGTGCTGAAGTTTCTGTAGCAGGTTTGTTTACAGGGTGGGGTTGCTAGCCTCACGCCTGAGAAGGGGGATTGTTACATCAATTTATTATTTAGAGAGAAGCGACCTTGTGGGTTGCTTCCCTTAAAAACCAGGAAAACAGGGAATAAACAAGCAGAAAAACACCAGCACGGGAAAATAATTCACAACAATAAGGGTAACAAGCGACAACTACAATAATAATATCACAGTCAATTACGGTTAACCAAAATGATACCAAAATCATAGACTCACTGACTTGAGCCAACTTGAACATGTAAATCCGTCAATATATATGCAATTATAGGTATTAGTTAGTGTTAATCAAGCACAGAGTGGCAATAGATAGTTATAGGTGTTACTGATATACAATATTATATCCAAAGATTCAGCGTTTCAAGGTCAAATAATTGTTAAAGTTTTTCGCAACTTTTTGATAAGATATTCCACGAAAATCCCAGTTCAGCTATAGCACACACCACATGCAATTACACACAACCACACAATAAGATGGATGGGATAAGATGACAGTTTCAAAATCTAATACAACTAACATGGTGGAGGGAGAATGATAACAAAGCTTTGTTTATCGAATCAATAAACGTGTAAGGAATGATTCAACACCTGTCCACCCAATATTAAAATTCTACTACCCGCTACGACAAATAGGAGAACAGAACTATAAAACTCAAGTTTCGAAGTCGTGTATTATAATATGAAGATATGAACAATAATTGTGTTCGAACTGTCATCCAGTAAATAATAATACTGTTTCATGACTATGTGATGAATCTAATAAACAAACCAATATGGAATTACTTACTACCACAGTGCCCAAGTTTTACACATATATTAATAGAAGAAAAAGATCATATCATCAGTCCGACACAGTACAAGGTGTCTTCATCATGAAGAAATTTGATCATTAAGATAAAGTGGGTGAAATCCTTAAGGAACAGTACGAGTTTCCAATAGACACTGTTGCAGATAATGTTTTTATTTTTAATGTGAGTGTAGAGCTTGGGCACTGTGGTAGAATGTAATTCCTATTAGATAAGTTTATTTTAATTATCACACAGCGATGTGCATGTTTTAACAACTGGATGACAGGTTTCGAGCCTAAATTATTGCCACTAATAATTATATCAGCTCAGTCATATGCTTTCAGAGCTTGTCTTATACACATTTTCTGTCTTTCTCTCTCTTTATCTACCTCTCTCTTGTTGTTTGTTACCACTTTCCATATCTCTGGTATAGGCGGCGTTGCTTCATTTCAGTTGACTGCCCGTGTGCGGTATTGAATCGATAAACGAAGCTTCAGTGATTAACCTCTCTCTCGCTGCCTCTCCCTACCTAACTATATCACTTTCTAATACTTTCACCCTGTTCCACTCTATTTTGTGACAACATACAAGTGAGTGCAGTGATGAAGGATATTTGTGATAGATTAGCATCGTTTGGTGCGTCACAACTCCCTCATTGGAGTTCGAGAGATACCTTGAATCGATGGCTCGAAACGTTATTGGAGATAGCCAAGAATCGCAGTCATCGATGGCGAACGTGCTGCAATCCCCATCTTTCTTCCCTTCCTCATGATATTGACGAATACTGCTTGAACTTTTAAGTTACTGTTTTCCTTCCAGATGAAGTTCTTTATCGTTCTCTGCACCTATATTTTTATTTTTAATCTATGTTTTTTTATTATTGTTGTGCGGCACATCTTTTTGGTGCCATATTGTACCAGTTTTTTGTGTTCAAATAATAATAATAGTGCAGTACAGTTGCTGACTATTTCTAGTTATTTACGTAACAGGTCAATCATCATTCTAAGTCCAGTTAAATTTTTATGTTTCGATAATCGAATTAACCCCGATCTACTACTAGTTTGCCCCATGTGTAATTGACCCCACAGTCATTAATTGCATAGTATTTGGTAAATTACATTATTTTTCCTAATTGGATCTATTGGGTCTTTAAGTCTTATGCCTTAGGGAGAGTTGGCTGGTTTAAATGCCCCCCCCCCGACTAACTCCATCCACATTAAAAATCCTACGTAAGGCCTCTGACGTCCCTTCTTTATACGGCAGTACTACTCAAGCTTTGAATTCGATATTATTTCCGTTATTTTCGTCGTATTTATTACTAATCTTTTTTCTTCTATGGTTCTTCATATATTTCTTAATATATTCTGGTAGGCAGCTATTTTTATTTTAGTTAAAAAAATAGATTAATTGTCAGATTTACAAACAGAACACTTTATAAACAAATTCCGTAAGCCAATAGTTCAGCGGTAGAATACTCTCCAATCAATTTCAACTTTATTGACTTTGAAAAGGCCTTCACTAGACAATGTCGATCGACAGGTGATTTGACAATTACTTCGCTACTACCAAGGGGTGCCGCCAACAATTATACATCTCATCCAGCAGTTGTACGACAATGCCGCATGGCAAGTAATCCACGACGGGAAACTCACAGAATCCTTCGAAGAAGTGAAGATGGGAGTAAGACAAGCTGGCTGCCTACTATCTCCAATGATTTTTCTGATTGCCGTAGACTGGATAATGTGACAGACAGCGGGCAGTAAGGAAACAGGCATAAAATAGACCCACACAAAAAAATTAGAGGATCTGAACTTCACCGATGATATATGTCTGATTTCTTACAAACTGAGAGATATGCAAGTGAAAAGCAACAAGTCGACAGATGAAGAAGCATCAAAAGATGGCAGGGACTTCAGGTGAACATAGAGAAGTCAGAGGTGGTGAAGATTCCTAGACAATGGCAACAACAGACAACAATCAGCATAAATGGGAGGAACCTGAAAGAAACAACCTCTTTTACCTACCTAGGAAGCATCGTTTCAACTATAGACGGGTGAAACTGACGAGGGTATCAAAGCAAGAATCGGAAAAGCAAGACAAGCTTTTATCACTCTCAAGTCTGTGTGGAGATCGACACTCAGCACTCAGTATGAAAAGTAGGATCCGGATTTTCAACTCCAGTGTGAAGTCAGTGCTACTATACGGATCACAGACTTGGCTCCATGCCGCGTCACGAAGTCCATTTCGAACAAACTACAGATCTTCACCAACAACTGTCTTCTCTCAGTTCTCCGCTCAAGATCAGATGGCCGTCCAGAAATGATCAGCAACAGGGATCTCTGGCAATGAATGAACCATCCCAGCTGGAACCGTTTGCACAACAGAGATGCGGGAAGAAATGGAGGTAGGTGGATTGGAGGTCATACTCTGAGAAAACCATCAAGTGACATCACATGCCAGGCCATCGCTCGAGTGGAACCCTAATCGGAAGCGCCGAGTTGGTCCTCAGTGCGAGGGTGACAGAGTTCGATACCCCATTAACGCACTCCTAAGCTTCACTTAAACAGTAGTCATATGAGTAAAAGTAGGAAGGTTGGGTATGAGTCTGGCAACATTATCCCGTAAACAAAAACCCCAACATTACTGCTACTGAAACTTCAATGACTGAAGCTCGAACCCCTTCATTCCACTCGGAACTCAAAGAAATGAAGTCAATAATAATAATAATAATAATAATAAACAGCTTATACCCATCAGATTGCTTACTACCTTGCGTCAAATTTGTATAGCCTCCTAAAATCTCACAAGCCTGGAAACTTAATAAAACCTCCACCTTAGATCTGTCGAACTCTTTACAGCATAAATTTGTCAAATTAGTTACGAAGATCCTTAAACCACGTAAGGGATTCTTTATCGCGACTAACTAACAAGTATCAGCATGCAAGTAGTTTTACCCATCATTCACATCAGCGAACTTTCTTGACGTGTGCACAGAAAACATAAGCTTTATCTTCCAAGATCAAGCATACAAAAGAAAATCGGAGGTTCTCTTAGGATCCTGTTAGTGAACGTCTTTTTATGCCGATAATGGGAGAATAAACGGAAGGCATGTTGACGACCGTCGAATGACATCGTGCTCAATCAGGCCGCTGCTCGAGTGGAATTCAAATAGGAAGCGACGATAGGGTCGACACTTTGATGGTGGCATGGAGGTCTCAAGTCATCGGTTCTTAGAATCCTGAGGATCCTACCAAGAAGTCTACATCTCTCTACGAGACTCAAACTAACTCTCACAGACTTCATAGGTTAATGCCAGATCTTGGTTTGACTACCACTAGCTAACATTGACCGTCGAGGAAGGCGATGGGTAGGCCCGCGTAACACATTTCCCAGTCATCTCAATCGATGTGTAGCCTAACAACCTCATTGACTGATATTCCCTCCTCACCTAGCACTCGACCGAAACCTAACCTCAATATTACTCACCATATTATAACACGGGAGATAGACAGACAGACACCTTTGACCAAAGACAGCTAGCCGGCCTTTCATGTCTTCCACTTTCAATGGCCATGTCTCACTCACAGCCATAAAGGAGGACGAAATGAACCGTTGAGCAGTACATTCGTCCATTGATCGGCAGTCAGATATCACATCTACTCCAGAGATGGCGTAACTTGAGTTGGAGTGAGTCCAAGAGTGGCGTGAAGAAGATTTTGGGCAGCAGTCAAGCCAGCTAAAGGTGATGATACAGAATCGAAATGAAGGACAACAAACACTAATAATAATAATCATTACTATCATTATTGTAATAAATTATTATTTTTAATTATTACCCAAAATACTCACCAATATTATATCAGCAAAATGAACAATCATAAAGGCTATTTGATTATTCATCAAATGAAATATACTTATTAGTAAACATTGAACACCTTGAATGTAATGCTTTTCATTTTCAAATAATTCATAGGCATTTTCACAACAAAATCTTTTCTTTACATATTCTTTTAAAGCTTTTATTCCATCCAGTTGAACTGGAATATTATATCTTTCATGTAACATTGAACAAATATAGTTCGGAATAATTTGTATTGATTCTGATGTTAGATGATAGTAGGTAAATAGTCATGTAATGAATCTACACTATACACTGATGACTCATTCAATGACTCAGGTAATATTATCGATTCATTTACAGTATTATCTATAGTAGGAATGGTATTAAGGTCATTCGTAGTGTTATCAATGTCCAATGAATAAAACATTCCTGGTTTTATACATCTTAAAGCATTTTCATAGTCTAATTTATTCATATTCAATTTTATTAATTTCATAATTTTTAAACAAAATAATTTAATCTTAGAATGTAAGCTGTTTGATTTATCTAAAAGTAATTTAATTGTCATAACAATTTCAAAAAAATCTACTCCATACATTGACATTGTTTTAATTAAATAATTTAGTTTATTAAAACAACGAGTGTGTTCCGCTGGATTTGAAATTGTACATATACCAAGAAATATTAAAATACGTATTGGCGGGAAAATATTTTTACAATGAATGACATAAATACAAATACATTCCCAGGTGTATTGATCAATTCTTGACTGTTTATACAATAAATTTGAGGCTATATTCAATTCTAGCCTGTACATTAATCTATTCTTTAATTTAATTGAAAATAAGTGATTTGAAAATAATTGTTTCAATGTTTCAATGCATTTTTTGTTTAAATCATCTAATCCACGGTAGGTTGTTAAAATGTATGATATAAATTTGCCTAATACATTAACAGAATGTAAAGAGAAGTTTTCTATTTTGTAGTGATGGATTAAATCATTTAATAAATTATAAGTGTGCTTGATAAATTGATTTATATCAATCTCTTCAGAGTAAATTTGATTAATGCGGTCTACAAAGTGTTTATCTTGTATTTCTGAGATATGTGACATTGACATTGTTATTATGTGATAAGTGGTAAGGATATTTGAAACATTGTCAACATTCGATAGTATTTAAGCTAAGTATATAAGCTAAAGATCCTAACTGATTCATAAATGGTGTTTATCGTCATTAATTAATGCATTGGCTAGAATCAGACTATTCAACTGCGCTTAGAAAGTAGAATTATATATATATATATATATCAGAAAACGTCACAGTGACCTTATGATTATAAGAAAATAATCAATAAGTAAAAACACAAGAGAATAGAGTACTTTTTCTGGGGGGGGGTGTATAGTCTGACCTTGAAGCAGTAGAACAACGAATAGTCAAAAAGAAAAGTGCGATTTGATCATTATATATATATATATTATTACTATTATTTATTATTGTTCCCTTGGGTTCCTAGTGGAACATAGGGCTTCAACTACACGTCTCCACTTGCTTCTCTCTTCTGCTGTACTTTTCACTTGCATCCATGTTAGTCCATACTATTTCAACTCCTCTTCACACGATCTCCTCCATTTCACCCTTGGACGTCCCACTCGCCGCTTCCCTTTCGGGTCCCACTCGAGCACTGGCCTGACGCGCGATGTCACTCAACGGACTCCTCAGCGAGTGTCCAATCCATTTCCACTTTCTCCTGCATATTTGTTGGGCGATTGGTTCTTGTTTTGTTTCTTCCCATAGCTTCTTGTTTGTGATTCTTTCCGGCCATCTAATCTTCAGTATGGAGCGAAGACAGTTGTTGATAAAGGTCTGCAACCTGTTGAAAATATTCTTGGTGACCCGCCAAGTTTCTGATCCGTAAAGCAAAATTGACTTCACGTTTGTATTGAAAATCCGAATTTTGTCGTTGATGCAGGCTGAGTGACGAAGATTTCCAGATTGGTTTCAGGTTGATGAATGTGTTTCTTGCCTTCCCGATTCTCGATTTGACATCCTCGTCCGTTCCTCGTGTAGTTGAGACAATGCTCCCTAGATAAGTGGTGAATGAAGTAACCTCTTTCAAATCCCTCCCATTGATGGTGATTGACGCTGGATGTTGCTGCTGTTGTTGTCTTCGCTGCTTCTTCGACCAGTTTATCAGTTTTCGTTTGTAAGTCTTCGATTTTGTGTGACATCAAACACAAATCATCCACGCGCAAAATCCAGGTCTTCTAGGTTCTTCACGTCGGTCAAGGATATCTCTGTCTTCCCGTTTCCCTCTGTCTGACGCATAATCCAGTCCACCACAATTCGGAATATCATTGGTGTATATATACATTTATATAGAGATTTTTGTCGTTATCCGACATCATTTAGAGATATCATTGAGAAACAAGGATCACTGGACAGCTGTTTCGTCCTATTTTGAGATTGGCTCTTCAGCAATGTGCAATGATGATTCCACCAAGGATAAAACCATGAACTTTCAGGTTTCCAGACTAAGTTCCTTGACGATTCAGTGTTCTAATCTAAGTCATCAGTTGAAATAAACTCGTCGCCAAGTTGTTATAGACCCGTCGCTTATTAAACATGATCGCGTTGATAGTTGATATGATCGTGGGTATAATAATACTGACGTGATGAACAACTCACTTGATGTGTTAGATACACCTCTTCATTCGTGGTATCTTCCACTTCACTGAGCCACGTTAATGTCAAAAGGTAAAGACTGGGGCCTGTGACTGTTAGGGTACAACATTTTTATTAGGAAAAACCATATCGTATTTAAGTATTTTCAACCACATTAAAATATGACTAAGGCAGTGGAAATAGAATGTTCTGGTTGGTAGGCGACCTGTCTAGGTCAGCAAAAAATAAATATTCTTATTGGTTAGCGAGTGGCCCACAGGCAAGGTAAGAAAAAGATGGCAAAGTTAAACTTTAAGTGCCAATGGATAGATGAACTTGAAAGCATTGACCACTTGACAAAGGCGATTTTTGAGTATAAAACACGCATATTTATTTTCAATAGTTGGTTTGTAAGGATTTGATTTGTTTTTTGATTTAGATCACGGATTGATATCAGTTAGAGAACCATTAAAAACCAGCTGGGGGAAGCACTGAACAGCTGTGTTCCTCCATCCTAGTTTGGGACTCATCGACAATACGCACTCACCACAGGAGTTCGAACCCAGGACCTTCCAGTTACAAGGCAGGCTAACTTGTATACCATTCAGCCACTGGGACCTGATTCAATGGCCAGCCCATGAATTCTAACTTCTACCAATTCATGATTTTTAGCGCAACCACTAAACAATATCATTGGCAGGTACTCCATCCTGACTCCCGATTGGATGGACCTCGCTGGTCACGAAATTTATTTTTTATTTCTTTTTATCACAGCTTGATGCCACACCGTATTTTCAGTACAAGTATGGAATTTTCAGCATGTGATATCGGTGGCCCAAATTTTGCAGGCCGACCATTGATATCAGGTGTGCGTCGGTAGAGGATCGAACCCCGGACCATATGCATGATCGGCGAGAGTCCTAACCACTGTGCCACCGACGCGCTAAAAATCATGAGTTGGTAGAAGTTAGAATTCATGGGCTGGCCATTGAGTCAAGTTCCAGTAGCTGAATGGTATACAAGCTAGCCTGCCTTGTAAGAGGAAGGTCCTGGGTTCGAACTCCTGTATTGAGTGCGTACTGCCGATGAGTCACGAACCAGGACTGAGGAGACAGCTGTCCAGTACTTCTTGTCTTTGAATGGTTCTCTAACTGATATTAATTCGGAGTGTAACTCGAAAAACATATATTTGTGAAAATAATAAATTAAAAGGCATGAGACTGTTACACAGGATACCGTTCTCTGACCTGTGATACAACTTAACCACATTTTATGCTGCCAAAGTAAGAGAAAGATGATGAAAATCTACAGTCATCCGATCACATGATGAGTCATATAATGAATCACAAGGTGATTACTATTTCTAGCCGATTTCCATCATACAGTCACTTGGTTCGAAACCCACGACCCCTAAATCTTAACTTTCTATAAGTTGAATTATGATTTTGTTAAGTGGAGGTGCTTGAAATAGGTGTTCATTCTTTTGATAACTACAGAAAGATGTCAGATACATTTGTTGATTTATTTTACTTCCCACCGTGGTTCGAACCCAGGACCAGTAGGGTACAGCAGGTTGAAGATGAGGCAGTAACTCATCGAAGAAGATATTGCGAAATGGTCGCGCTATGTCGTGAATTGGTCTACGAGCTCGCCTTGTAACCAGGAGGTCCTGGGTTCGAATCCCGGTGGGTGTGTACTGATGAAGAATCCCAAACTAGGACGAAACAGTTGTCCATCCATCCTCCTCCATCCAATCAAACTAAATCCCTACAAAATCAATACTTGAAAACTGAAAAGTTATCAGATACGTTTGTTGGTTTATTTTTCTTCCTAGGTGTGAACTTTTAATTTACAGTTGATCTAAATCTGAATGAAGAAGCAGAAAAATTTAGAATTCATGGGCTAGGGGATATCATCCCAGTGGCTGAGCAGGTCCTGTAAGCTTACAGGAACTGTATTCAATACTTAGCGGCGGAGTCACAAGTGTGTACTGCTGAAGAGTCCAAAACAAAGGCGATACAACTGTTCAGTACTTCCTGGTTTCCAAACTAAACTCAGTACATCATCAATCTTGAAAGAATGAAGTCAGTGAAATTCCAAACAACTTCCGAACAATTGGACAAACTTTGGTAGAAATCACATTACTAAAGCAAAAAAGGGTCTAATTGACTGACTGTCATCATTTTACACCAATCAGAATGCAGGTAAGATGTAAAACGCTTAATATAAGCGGTTCAATACACAACATGGCAAGGCTTTTTATCTTAATCAATAACTAGGAAGCAAGACTAGAGTTCATCAGTTTGAACAAGGGAACAAAAACTGTGCATTTAGAATCTTATGAAAGAAAAGAAGTTCATCAGCGAAGAGTCACACTTCTCTTTTCGGCGATATCATTCTCAAACTGTACAATCGCATGCTACATATTTGATTTGTCACTAGAATTGTAAAATTTTAGAAATCGAATTGCGTTAATTAGTTAGAAACTAAAATAAGATTAAATAAGCAAGTTGAGTGATGTAATCTAATTCACGGGGTTGAGTAGAGCTCAGCTAAAATTAAAATTGGACAAAAGTCCAGTTAACAACAGTGGTAATAAGAAGGAGAGATTTAATAAGGGGTGGGGAGGAAAATATTGTACAATTAAGAAACATACAAGCAAAAAAAAGACAAAACAAAAATTACGTACTTGGTGTTAAGAAAGATCAAGTTCATTGTAGATTTATTGACTGAACAAACTTCTTTTGAATGCAGAGTTTGGGTTTTAATATTTAAATTGGTGTTGCTTCTGCAGTTTGGAGAAGTTTAATTTGTACCCTTTTATATATGATAGAGAAGATTTGTAGCTCAGGTGGATGATTTTGGTGTGGTTGTGTTCTCCGAGTTGAATAGTTAATCTGTGAAGCTTTCATCACGTTACTAGGTGACATCTTCAGCGCATACTTCAATCTGTTGAAGTGAGCTTTTAGATTTCTCCACGAGTTTATCAATCATCTCTCCCGGTGACCTTGGGCGTGATTGGTTGTTTTTGTGTGCTTTCACACGTTCTAGGTTACTTGTGTTGGAACTGATTGTTTCTTTGACTTGAACTTTGACCCTTTGTGTGTGAGGGTACCAACGCTTCTTCTTCTATCTGTTCTATTTCATCATTTAGGTCTTTTCTTGTACTACTTGGTGCTACTGTTCGGTTTGTTAGACACTTAACTAAGCCAGCCTTTACAGACGACGAACGGATGAGACGAATTATAGTCGAAATATCTATTAGAATGCGTTAGCTTTTTATAAACGCTAGTGTGCAGTGCAGTTTACCTTCTTCTGTTCGTTTTATTTTACAATCTAACACCATAGCTAATTCTCCTTGTTCATTTTCCGATTCAAATGTGAATTTTATTCCCTTTACTAGTGAGTTTATATGTGTGAAGAAGCTAGAGATATGTTCTGTTTTTAACACTATGAA